ACTAACGCTTTGATCTAAAAAGGTTTTTTTTTAAACAAAGGTTTCTATGGATGGGGTCTATATATAAATATCTTTAATGCCCGTCAAAACCAAATTACACAGAAAACATATTATTCAATTGCTTCCTTTGTGTAACATAGGAGACAAGATACTAGGCCGAAGTTTAGGCATTCACTTACAATTTTCCGTTAACTCTGTTGATGTAAATATTGTACATTCTAACAAAGAAATCGATCAATTTAACATTTCACGTATGTTTTCCTTTTCTCGACTCTTTGACAATCATTAATCCCCAAAACTTTGCTTCATGTAAACATGTCGTGTATTGAAGAAGAAAGAATTGCATTTTCTAGTGTGACCACAGAGAGAAATGGAGGAAAGAAAACAGCTTGTAGAGGTATGTGTTTTAAATTAATTTATATCAAAAAGTTACTTTCGTCACTCTCAAATGAAATGTGAATAAGAACAGTAATTATCATCAAAAGTCAAATTAAATGATAAAAAATGACAGCAGAGCAAACATGTATCTGAAACACCAGAAGTAGGATTAGGTGCCATGGAGGAATAAGCATCCCCTGAACAATAGGACACGTTCTGTATCCTGTTCCTTATAAATGATATCTAAATGACATGTCACAAATCCAACAGTCATTACTATTGGTATATGGGGAGCATCGCAGTCGTATTTTCAAGCGTATATCAATTACGGTAAATCCGTCCGGACAAAGAACTACTAGAGTTCAGTGAAGAACATTGGTATTTTAACCAGGCAGTGCATTCAAATAAACATTTAAACAAAGAATTTTATCAATTCATATTGAACTGTTATTTTATGGACACTATTAGACGGCGCTGAACAACATTAGGTCGCAAATGATCAACACTTATGTTGTGAAATCAAGCGAAAATAAAAGCATGTTCCCCGAAATGATATTGAGTATTTCATACGGCACCATTCATGTATTGTAGCAAGTTGGTTCCAAATTGCTTGAAAGTCACACTTTAGCTTTTCACAATTCCGATTTGACGAGTCTATAGATGTGATTCTTTGAAATTAATAATCATTCAGATATTACAGAAATAAAATAGAATCTCTCTCTCTCTCTCGCTCTGTGTTTGTGTGTGTGTGTGTGTACTGTAACATTACTAGTTTTAAAAACATTCATGAAAGTCAACATGATAAGCAAAAATATGCGCATTTTCTATTGAATATCACACATTACATTTATTATCCCCTCTATAAATATTTTATGCTTGTAACACATTTTGTAAACTATCTGATGAAACAATGCAATCGATATCATGTAGAATTCGATATTTGCAACCAAGAAAAATGTTCTTATGAATTCAGCAATATTGAGTTTGGTCGTTGTAAAAAAGTTGTTTAACATCAAAACATAGAAAAATCACTTGCTACAAAAGTAATTTATTTTTGGAGGATTCATCGGTGTACAGTAAAATAGTACCAATTAAGATGGAATGTCAACTAGAATTCCTATTAAATCATGCCGGCTCCATTCCTTTACTATTTTATTCCGTGAAATAAAATTGCACTATTTCAAGACAGTATTGTTTTATCAAAGAAAAGAAAATAGGCATAAGTATACAAAGTATAAAATACACGAGGAATTTCACCCGAGAGTAAGGAACAACTTGAATTACGAAATAAATACTATTATTTAACAACTAGGGACTTCTTAAAATAGTCTATTAATAATGTTAAGACTCTTCATTAGAAATATTCTCTCAAATTTTAATTACAATCATTCCTTCAGAGTATAATAAAGACAGAGATTAACTTGATGAAAAATGACTTAAATCAAAAGACCCATCATACAGTGGGATTAGATAACTATCTCGTTTTGGGTTACCTACCTAACATAAGCCAAGCGGTTCTGAAAACAATCCACCCATTGTCTGACTAGAATCAGGATATCACTGAATCTATACTGACATACTCAAACAAATGATTGATATTTCTTGAAGGATTCTATCCTGAAGAAAACATGGTGAGTGAGCTTCATATGAAATGACTTCTTTCTTAAAAATACAATTTCGTGTGAAATGAAACTTTAAAAATACAAACAGAAAAAAATTTAATTTAAATTTATGATATACATGTATGTATGTTGTTTTCTAGGATGCACTGACGGAAGATCAAGTCGCTGGTATATAGAGTTTAGTCTCTCTCTTTTTCTCTCTCGTTGAATTTTCAAGTTTCTTTTTAAATTATATATCTTGAACTTGGTTAGTATTTTCTTTGAGTTAAATTTATTGTTTTTCACTGCTATATCTATCACGTTAAAGAAATTTTAGAAATAAGCAGCAATATTGATTGAAAAAAGGTCTCTATAACTGAAAAACGTTATCATAATTACACCACATTTGTTGTCAAAGTAATTGAGTTACAAGTTTTGAATAGGATTTAAGCAATATTCATATTATGATTATATCCTTAAAATGTTTTCTTGTCACTGACAGAGTTTCGGGAAGCTTTCAGTCTCTTTGATAAAGATGGCTCCGGGAACATTTCCGGTGGCGAACTAGCGTCCGTAATGAAATCATTAGGTCAAAATCCTACAAATGCTGAACTGGAAGAACTTATCAACGAAGTGGATCAAGATGGTAAAACTAACTTGAACTTCTACCAGATTGCATTTGATTCTAATAATTCTATACATGTAGATGTAGATTAAGAGAAAGAACGTAAGCAGCATGCTTCAAATATCCATTTAACCGAATGGCTCATTGCCCTTTTTAAACAAATTTAAAATATTCATTTTTTAGGCAATGGGGAAATTGACTTCAATGAATTCCTGCAAATGATGTCGAAGAAGATGAAAGAGACGGACACAGAGGACGAAATTCGGGAGGCTTTCCGAGTGTTTGATGATTCCGGAACTGGATCCATTAGTTCTAATCAGCTGCACCTGATATTGACGACTATGGGGGACAAGCCGAGATTGACGGACGAAGAAGCAAATGAAGCTGTCAAAGTTGCCGACATAGACGGAGATGGGGATATTAATTACATTGGTTAGTAAGATTTTCAGACTCTTTTTCATTGTAAAATTTCAGAGTCATACACTGCAGTTTTTATGTTGTTGTCTACCTATGCAGTCTTAGTCTCCTTTATATATATACATATATATATATATATATATATAGAGAGAGAGAGAGAGAGAGAGAGAGAGAGAGAGAGAGAGAGTCTACATACCATTTTTCGACATTGAATATTTTCGACATTTTGTGTAATTTTTTATTATAATTTTGCAGAGTTTATAAAAGTGATGACGGGTTAAAGCCTTGAAGTTCTTGGCAATCATGAAAGGAACGGGACATGATTATAAAGACTATATCGAACAAAAACTCCGATTTCTTTGACAATCCTTGAACGAGCAATTCAGAAGTTACCTTAGATAAGAAATGGAATCAATGTATTTTTTTTTTCTTTTTACAAATTTAAACATCTGAAATGAAACTCTGATGTTCATAAATTGGTTCTTCCAAACCAGTATCAATTCTAATTACATGTATAACTTTTTTCTAAATGGTGAACTGCAGTTACGAAATTTTGCCGCCTGTTTTAACTTAAGTTTTATTTATTCTACTTAATTTGCAATGATTTTGTATAATTTTTTGTTGTATATGTTTGATAAATGTTTCAATTATGTTTTTGTTGATGTAAAATAAAGTATATTTTATCAAAATGCCTTGTATATTCACACATATTTTACTTGAAGTCATCTCAGTATATTGAACTCATGAAAAAAAAAAATCTAAAGTCAGTTTCAATTTTCTTTATGTTTTATTAGTCATACTTGATTTATTATTGGTTCTATTTTTTCTTCTTCAAATTAAATTCTTGAAAATTATTATTCACATAAATTTGAGAATAAAGTAACCAAATTAACAGAAACAAATATTTTATGAACACACATCTTCCGGTTGATTTGTTGATTTACTTTACATAGGTATATTTACATTCCACATGTATTTTACTTATAAAGTGTGAGGAAACTACAGCATTCAAAACACCATAACACGGAGGGGGGGGGGTCAAAAGGTTATAATTAAGGTATGCGCTTTATTCTGACGTCACAAACGTTGAACTCCGTGGAAGTGCAACGTCATAAACAAAAATCAAAATTCACGCTCAAATTGAACAGAAGCTGTTGCAATGGCTCTTACATTAACTGTAACTTACACGAAGGATTATACAGTGATTTTGAAATATAAATCATATTTGCAGTCAGGGCAAGGAGTTAAATAGTGTAAATATAAGTAAGCATTGAATTATTATTTTTTGAAAGATAATGTCTCATAATCGCAACGGTGTGTGCAAACAAATTTTCATAACGCACTAACGCGCGTTACTCAGTTTGTTTGCAAATTCCATTGCAGTTATGTGACTATATCTTTCAAAAAATAATGATTCAATGCTTAATTATACATTTTTTTTAAAAAAGGAACAAAGATGTTTTTTATATACAATTTTATATATCTTTACTAATTTCTTCTTTAATAATTAAAATAAAGAAAAAACACATAGATCCAAAACTTCATCTTTCAATGCTCCAAAGTGCATATGTTTTCCAGAAGTCACAAAAATTAAACCTGTAAATTATTAATGCAGTCTCTGTTTGTCTTTTCTCCAATATAAAATCAAACACACATGAAGAATTGAAATTTTCGATAATAAATCCTTGTCACAATAGAAATATTGATTTTTTAAAAATACAAACAAGAAAACATTCTGAATATTATAGCGTTGTATACCTTGCTTATGACAAAAAACAAAAATAATTTAAAATATACATACATCAAACTTTAAATATTGATGGCAAAATGCACAGAAGGCAGAGCTTTAGAATAAATAAAAATGCTTTCAATAAAATTGTCCTCCTTTGATATTTACAATGAAAAATTAAAAAAAAAAAAATTACACGCTTGATATACTGTCTGTAAAAGGCCGGGACAATTTAAAGGCCATTGATTTTAAGCCATTGAAACATCAACACATGCTAAGGTTTTGTTTGGAAACATACATAGAAACGGAAATTTATGTTGATATTCACAACTCTTGGACCATGCTAGTGGAGAAAAAATAGAGCACGTAAGTCTTACAGTCCACTTCTATCGACTTCAACACAGCATTTGATATAATATCCTTAAAAGGCAGTTTGATAATCTAATATCGACGACTTTAAATGGTTGTATTAACCTAACCCGATCTCTCGAGATAAAAATACCTAATAATCTTCGGTTTACAACCATGTTCTAACCGCGATCAATCAAGCATTGTATTGATCCGGGTTTTCAAATTGGATTGTGATTCTTTGACAGTTGCATTCACCATCCATTTTCGTTGTCTCTATTTTATTCTTTTATTTATCCCACAGAAAAAAAACCTTCGATGTTTGAAGTCCTTTGAGTTTTGTGGAAAACAAAATGTCGTCGGTAAGTTCCCATTGCTTGCATTCTTTGTCATTTTGTAAACATACTGTAATCCATTTTTAAAACATCGATCCACTGTATATGTAGAAACCAGTGTGTTGTGAAATCAATGTTCATCGATAACTTGTGTTTTTCTAGAATACGAATCCATTTGGGGAACAGGTACTCAAGTTCAGAGCACAATGAACGTGTATCTTAGCTTTCTCTATTTAAATCAATGTATATTTTATCTTTCCATTTGCTTTTTTCTAGATGTTGTTATTTTCAACAAACTTTTCATGCACTTTTTTTAGTTTAATTCAAAAACATTATTTTGATCAATGTTGTATTTGATAAAGATTTTAGACAATTACATAATGTCATACTGAACCTATTTAAATTGTGAATTGTTACTTTCATATATATATATTTCAACATTCAGTATTACTGTGCATTCACATGGCTAATATTAAGTCCTAATGCAAATGTTAAAAATTTCAATTAAAGATATAAACAAAACATTCTTAAAAACAATTACCTTTCAAAACGCTTTATTAACAAGACTATACTCATGATGATACATGAATTTGTGAGAGTCTTATATACATATAATACACTCAATGAATGACACACTATAATTCAATATATCTTATTCTCTCCAGCATCACGTGATATTAAGCAGAATCCAGTGCTGAGAGTATTACATTTTTGTTCCTCTTCATTAGGATCCTTATATAGAATATTTACTTTATCATCGAGTGTTTAAAATGTTTGACACGTGTTTTGTTTGTGATGCACATTAACAATTTTTGGTTGAATTGTTGTTGTTTAGAACTATGCACTCATTTATTTATTTTTGTTTTTATTTTTATTTTTGATTTAATAAATATTTCATCAGATACATACGCATCCAATTCATACCATTACAACTCATTGTCAGAAAATATAAAAGTACTTTAAGCTCATTCTGTGGTCTGAAAAGACTGTCATTACTGTGAATTTTTCGCACCACTTTCTCATCTTTTTTGTTTTTTAATTACTAATTTTGCAACAATCAAGAATTAATGAATTAAAAACCAAACAAACAAAAGAACAGGCATATGAAAACAGAAAACTTAGAAATGAAAAAGTTGAAGATAACGAACAGTGATCGATCTCAAAAACCTATAAAAATAATACAAATATTTGAACAGGACATAAAACACGGACGTCTGGAAATTCCAGAGGTGGGATCAGTTAGGTGCCTTGGGAGAGTAAGCATCCCCTGTCAACCTAGGTATTGGTCAGGTAGACGAAAAAAAAAATCCGTAGTCATATTCAGTGTATAAACAAAGGTATAACATTTGGTATGAAATATGTCATTCAAAATGCGACCCAATTATAGGCTGTTTAAGCAAATATTATCATTATAACGCCCATAGAATTATCAAAATACTAACTTTCAACGACGTCGTTGCAATCCCCGTAAGATCAATTTATCTGTCAGTAGCCTGTCTTGGTTTAAAAAAAGATGCTTATTTTTTTTTAATTATTCTACTGTAAAACATGTTTATTCAATAGTTATTTAGGTTGAAATATTACTGGAGAAAAATTTAATAATCACATTATTTAAGCAAGATCTTTGGTATTTTTATATATTAATATGTCCACAACAAAATCCCGAAATCAAAAGGCACAATATTTAAATATTTCGTTTATAACGATGTAAAGGAGGGAGTGTTCTACTTACAATAAATCTTGTCATACAGCCTTCTAAAAATCTTGAATATGCTCAGCTTTGCTAAAATTGTATAAATGTAACCTTGTGCTACTAAGTACTTATTATCATATGCACCATCATTTATACAACACAAAAAACTCACCTTTTTATTTGTAAGTTATAACAGTGTATGAGTGATGTGTCTTTTAAAAATGCAATATCATGTAGATCATACCTATTGTATGTTAAATCATTGATCTGCGATTTTAAAGCATATTTTTAATTATCTTTCACAGACATATCACATGAAAGATGAGATGGTCGCAGGTAAAGTAGCTTATTTTTTCTTTACAGATTTAAATCTTGGAGATAACGCAAAGAATTCAATATCTCCAAGCATTAAATTGTCCATAAATTCGTATAAATGGATATATTTCAGATTTCTCCGAGGCTTTTGAAATGTACGCAAAAGGGCGTGGTTACATTCACCAGGATCTCTTGAAAGAAATACTGGAACTTGTAGAACAGCCAATGCCTGAGGATGAGATTAGCGATATCATTGAAACAATGTGTAAAGGTAGTATGCACAGCACTCAAGTGACATTTCTTAAATAACAAGATGCCCAAGGGCCTCTATAGTCACCTGAGTATAATGCTGTAAAGGATCCATAGATTTAATATAAAACAAAATAAGCTGCTAAATGAAGCTATGATACCCAGAAGCAAGAGAAATAGGATGATCAGAAATCAGCAAAATAATTTACTAGTATTTCGTGCTCAGTAACAAATATTAAAGTTGATCTATTTACTTGCCTATATTTGGCCCACTTTGTCAATATCCCCATGCAGACTTAACAAAAAATAGTTTTTAAGCACTATTAGTAAATTAAACCCATCTCATTTCATCTCACAGTTGCCTCTCTTAGTCTTTGAAGTATATTTAATGTACAAAGATAAGGTATTTTCCCCCATTTTTATTTATTTATTATTTAAAAGTCTACCTGACCATTAAAACTATGAATTCAAAGTACTTTTTGTATTTAATACATGGATTGTAAAAATTCTTATATAATTCTGCTATTCAATTACATAATTTACAGTGATTAATTATTATAGGTGAATAGCAAAGGGGAATAAATTCTTTCAGTAGAATACAAATTAGTAAATTGACCAAGTAGTGCAGAATGGTAAAAATACCCTTGCTTAATACAACGTTATATACTCTGTTTGCCTCCTAATTGTCCAGGAACAGAGAAGAAATTTTCCAAAAAAAAAAAAAGAAAAAAAAAAAAGCCTTTTCACTATAGATTCAAAGACCGACCCTAACACCAGAGCCCCTGACCCAGGGGTCAAGAAATTCACAATTTTGGCAGAGGCACACTTGCTCATCATAACCATGCACTTAGTATGTTTGCTAAATACCCGTGGGCAGAGAAGATTTTCAAAGAAATAATGCATTTTTACTATATATTCAAAAGCGCCCCACCCATACACCAAAACCCCTTACCCAGGGATTATGAATTTCAAAATTTTTAAAAAGGCATCCTTGCTCAACATAACTATGCAATTATTTCTCTTCTCAATACCCAGGGCAAAGACGAAGATTTTCAAAGGAATACATTTTCACTATTTTATCAATAACCTCCTACTGAACCCCTCACTCTATGGTCACAATTTTCATAATTGTGGAAGAGACACTCTGAAATTGCTCATCATAACTCTACGGTTGGTTTGTTTGCTTAATTCACGGGAACAGAGAAAATTTAATGTTAAGAAGAAATAATGCATTTCACTATATAATCAAAAGAGTCCCCCCTCCCGCAGAACCCCTCCCCCTGGGGCCACAAATTTCACATTTTCAAAGAGGCACCTTTGATCATCATAACCATGCACCTTGTTTATCTGCTTCATATACAAGGCGGAGAGAAGAAGATTTTTAAAGAATTTATAATTTTCTTTAAGGATCATTAGAACCTCATCTTAGCTCCAGAACCCCTGACCCTGGAGCAATGAATTTCACAATTTTGACAGAAGGATCAATGCTTTAATATTACAATCATGCCAACAGTTTGACTGTTTGATATCCAGGAGTAAAGAAGATTTTTAAAGATAGCCCTAATTTTGATGGATTTAGCCTAATCCCTCAGGCCCCAGGGGGGCAGGGACCATGAAATTCACAATTTTTGTTCACCTTTACTCATAAATGTTTTATGCCAAAATCAATTGAAATTGGTTCCACGGTTCCAGAGAAGAAGCTTAAAATGTTCAAATATTAACGCATGACACACAACGCATGACGCACGATCAACGACGGGCGAAAACAGCAATATGTCACCAAAGTGACTTAGGCGACCTAATAAAAGTAATACGTCAAAATTAAAAAAATAGTTTCAGTGGTACAAAGGGTTGCATAGTACAATTGATAATAATAAATCTAAGGACAAATTAGCAATACTATATAACAAACGCACCCGTATGTATCAATTTACTAGTACAGATAACGTTTCTCAATTCCACGTACAATCAACAGAATTTTTACATAATGTTAATTCTTCAAAGTTGTAATACACACTATGGTAAGGATTATAAAACAAATTCTCAGCTGTAGGTGACCCTTTTGCATCACCTGAGTCACCAAGTGCACATGGCCCCTATGAAATTGTTTTGAAAAAAGTCTTAGGAACATATGTAAAAAAAAACCTTAACAATCTTCGTGACATATTCTAGACCACAGACTGTCAAGCTTATATGCACATGCAAGCAATCTCATATGGTAAAGACTTATTGTTCAGACCATCATATTTTGGACAAAGAGGAGGTTATGAAGGGGTCCATTTTTTTTTTTTAAAAGAAAAATATAGGAGTTCTTTAAAAGTGTTTTTTTTAATTAAGAAACATCTGACTACAAATTGTCAATTGTCAAACTTTTATGCTATAGGACAAATTTCAAAGTACATATCATGGATTTAAGGAATAACTGTCTTATTTTTTGGATTCATGATGTGATCAATCGAGTGGCTTGCGCGATAATTTGCATAAACGCCGAAGGCGTTTATGCATAAAATTATCACGCAAGCCAATCGATTGATCATCGTCATGAATCCAAAAAATCTGACAGTTATTCCTTATATCTACATGCTCCTGATTCTGCAAATTCCCGTGCTAATAGCCCCGCTTCTGTCTCTATTTGTCCCGCCCCGCACGTGATATTTTTTAACCGCGCCTATCGATGAACCAGTAGATTTATGTAGAAATAAAGTATTTTTACAATTTGTAATTTTATCTCGGACAAAGACATTGGAAATGTAAATATTCGAGATTGTTTACATCAAGATTTTTGTCGGAATAAAAACGAAAAAAAGGGTCCAAATATTAAAAAAGGAAGTAAATGCATAAGCATTGTCTTTAAATTGTTCTTCCTTAAAACTTCAAGACTACAATTTATCCAGTGAAGTCAAAATTTCCTAAAAGAAATGTATGTAAAGAAGGGGTCCAATCTTTTATAAAGAAATTTAATGGAAATCTTCAAAACTGTAATTCTTTATGTAAGAAATAGTTGGCTACAAATTGTCAGCCCTAGCTGCTAGATTTTAACGTACAATTATAGATTTGAGATTGTTTGAATCAATGTCTTTGCGAGAGAGGGGGATGACGCAAAAGGGGACCAAAGTTGGATTAAAAATGTATAAGAAGTATCTTTAAATTGTTCATTTTTCCTTTGGCAGTAAAGGTCCACAAAAATTCTCAGTTTGGACAAAAAAAAAAAAAAAAAAAAAAAAAAAAAAAAAAAAAAAGATGCATTCTTTACTATAGGGCAACAAAATAAAACTTGGCATTTGATACTCATGGTCCTATGATTCTTATTCCTTCTGGAGACGTTAAAAAAGAATAATCTGAGAACAAAGTTATCCCCATATCCGTGCGTCCACCATACTCTTGTGACGATTTGAGATACAATTATTGCTAAACAATTGAAAGTATACTATCACAATGAAACAGGGTATTTCAAGGTACATGTATAAATCTTTTAGCTGTAGATTCATCAAGAGGTAACGTTTCAGTCTTTCCATATTTTTTGTAGGTAGTAATAGATTAGATTTAGAGAGCTTCCTGCAAATAATGACCCACAAAATGCGATCCAGTGATCCAATCGAACAGCTTCGAGACGCCTTCAAAGAGATTGATGCTGATGGGAGCGGATCCATAGACCGCGCCGAACTGAAGGAGATGATGATGAAGATGATGTCTAACGACTACACTGAAGAGGAGATCGATTCGATGATCGACAAGGCAGATTTAGACGGTGATGGAGAAATCGACTTTGAAGGTTAGTGGTTGAATTTACCTCATCAATATTAATGGACGTTAAATCATAGTCTGTGAAGAATATTGAAATATTTTTTGGAATGGTTCGATATGCTGACGATTGGTTATCTTTGTCTGTTAATCTATCTTGTATTTATTCTCATTCTTGAATTTATCTGGATGGTTAGACATACAAAAATAATAAAAATAAGTAATTTCAAAAACGAGAAAATTACAAATCTATTACAATTCTAAGACGTCCAGCGCATTTCATGGTACCTGTATATATGTCGTATCTGAGGTAAAAAATATAATTCGAAATTGAGTGCAGATATATGTTATGTATGTTAAAATTAAATCCTTCACCATACTTAACTTGGATAACCTCACATTTCTTTTGTTGAATTTACTTTAAACTTTGCTGTAATTGTGTTGAATACTAATAAGATCCGCCACGCGCATGACTGCGGGAAAATACAGCAATAAAGCCATGATGGAAGAAGCAGTATAAATGTACACAATATCGTCAAATACATTTCACTCTTTACTTCTCGCCATATCTGCCTGTCTCTTCCTCATTTTCTCTCTTTGAATCTGTCAAACTGCTTGTATCCGCTGGTCTACCTCTCTTTCTCATTGTCGCTATTGTTGTTAATTGTTAAGGCGGAGTTATTCAAATCTCTATTATTTTTGTGGAGTCGGTTTAAAAAAATTAGTAATTGTATGAAATATTTGATATCTTTGTAACGCAATTGTATTAAATTGTGTAATTTACACATAAGTCTAAAGTCTTATCTTTATATATAATTATGAAACAAATAAAAAGATCTATTAAATTTTTGTTATCAAAAATACGCCACATATACACTGTACCCCTTCAAATATGACATAACAATTCAGGAACTCTAGAAACAATGGATACGTAATAAAAGAGAATGCAGGCATGCTATGCATCCCAAATTGGTCAAAAAATGCTAATGGTTACATTTCTTACACCTGGTATTAACTTTTCGTTAAAGTAAAATCACAGATGGATGAGTTTGGTTGACAGCCTCAGATATCAACAGAGGGAATATGTAGTAACTCTAAATTGAATTCACATTAATCTTCATAAACAGCAGCAATTTGTTTGTGTACATGTAGATCAAACTTACTGCATACTATGTATGACTAATAACCTTGTATAAAAAAGGAATCCTGTAAAATTTCCACTTGGATTGTTTTTATGCCCCCTAATCGATGATTCGGGGGTATATAGTTTTTGCCTCGTCCGTCCGTCTATCTGTCTGTTTTTCTGTTTATCAGTTTGTCTGTTTGTCCGCAAAAACTTTAACATTGCCCATAACTTTTGATTGGTTAGAGCTATGGCTTTCGTATTTCACATATATATTCCTTGTGACAAGACCTTTCTTTGGGTACCATTATATTTTACCTTTTGACATTGACCTTGGAGTTTGACCCAGTTTTGCAAAATTTTACTTTAACCTTGGCCATAACTTTTGAACAAATGGTGCTAGGGCTTTCAAACTTCACATGTATAATTCTTATGACAAGACCTTTCTTTGGATGCCAACAACTTTGACCCTTTGACCTTGGAGTTTGACCTACTTTTGAAAAACTTTAACATTGGCCTTAACTTGTCAACGGTTGGTGCTGGGGCTTCCATATTTCGCATATGAAATCCTTATTAAAAGACCTTCTTATGGATACCAACAATTTTGACCCTTTGATCTTGGAGTTTGACCTATTTTGGAAAACTTTAAACTTGACCATAACTTCTTAACAGTTGGTGCCAGGGCTTTCATATTTAACATATGAAGTCCAGGTGACAAGACTTTGGATATTAACATTTTTTACCCTTTGACCTTGACCTAGGAGTTTGACCTACTTTTGAAATACTTTAACCTTGGCCATAACTTTTGAACGGTTGGAGCTAGGGCTTTCATACTCCACATATGTAATCCTTGTGACAAGACCTTCCTTTGGATACAAACAACTTTGACCCTTTGACCTTGACGTTTGACTTTTGTAAAACTTTATCCTGGTATTAACTTCTGAAGGGTTGGTGTTAGGGCTTTCATATTTGACATGTGTATTTCTTATGAGAAGGCCTCTCCTTGGGCACCATTAATTTTGACCATTTGACCTTGATGCTTGACTTACTTTTGAAAAACTTTAACCTTCTCCATATCTATTCAATGGTTGCTGCTGAGGCTTTCATATTTCACAGGTATATTCCTCGAGACAAGACCTTAATTTCGGCACAAACAGATTTGATTTGCATCTGAGAAAGTTTAACCTTCGCTATAAGTTGTCATACGAGGGCATCAGTGTTTCAGAAACACATCTTGTTTTATTTTATTTTCATTTATATCTTATTTCACATTGTTTTGCATTCATTTGAAGCTGTATGGCATCTTAATAAGTTGTAGGTCCTTGTTACTCTGTTTAAAATTTGGTCTTTTAGATAGTTAATTAAACAAAGATATCAAAATATCAAAAACTAAATTAGGTGTATCTAACTGTATACATGCACTAGGATTTGTTTTAATGTTCTGAATCTTGAGTATATGTACAAATAAAAGATTGAACATATTTCATACCTTTTTGCTTTTCAGAATTTGTAGCAATGATGAATGATGTTAATGGATAAACTGGATTCCCCTGCATCTTTTCATATCCTTTGGCGTTCTTCTGTTACTAGTGGTGAACTAAAGGACCAATATTTAACTGACTGACAAGAGAAAGCTATATATGTACGAGTACAAGAGCTGAAATTGTTGTATGACTGTGTTTTGCATGTGAATAAATGAATCCGTCCACACTTTATTTTGAATTGTGCACATTCTGACCCAGAAACATTGTGTCGTTTTTTTTTGTCTTTTATTTCATTGAAAGATTCTAAGATCAGATGATTCGAAAATTACTATATTGCCCATTGCTCTATTACACAAGGGAGGGGAGAGGGCACTAATTACAGGTACATTGTGAATTTGTGATTATGCAATAGAGACGCAAAGTCAGTTACGTTTACTTTCCTGTATAATGCATTGGTAGCTTACTCCAGTTGGATCAGGATTACAGACGTAACCATATCGTTTTCATTTCAAAGCCTTTGGACAAAAATGTTTGTCACCGTAAATGGTATGTAAGTAGGTGTGATTTGAATTTTATCTATTGGTTCAAAATAACTATCGTATTTCAGAAAGATTCGTGATTACATAATGTTTTAAGAAGATTAGAACAGGTCCTACCGATACCTCCTTGAACACGAAGTCTAACCTTTTAGGTTAAAGAGGTTTAAAGTGTTGGGAAATCATAGACATTCCCTTCTATTGTTGATGTCACCTAGTAGATCCTCTGAAGGAAGGCATTAAGGGATACTATTAGTAGAGATAGCCTACATTTCCGGGCTATCTATTGCCTATATGCCAATCATTCATATTAACTATGTGTGCTTTTGTCATTAAAATAGCATTTTTTTTTAGCAAAGAAGATAAATATTAAAGCCTAAAGATTTTAGTTAGGCAAATGTAACAGATCAAATAAATCCATGTTTACTTTACTGGTTGGGATATCGGTAACTTTTTCTGTATACAATACTCATATTAGCGTCAAATTATATATTATGAAAGGCTGGACTTTTTCTGAAGAACTATTACTCCCTGCACTGTATTGCAACACGCTGTCCTAAATGGTTATCCTGAGTTTAAAATTCTATATTTTCTAATTTGGTGGCTATTGATTTGCAACTGATACACCTCTTCCGAACTTCTATTATACGCGGATTTAATGCATTTGATTTATGTGTAAAGTTAATGAATGGACCATAATTTAATAGTCAATTTTTAAATTGACGATTGGATCAATTGCTTAATCACTCAAGAAATAATTCTGGTGTAGCGTGAATACTTAGATATAATCTGCACACGTGATTTAGACCGAATTTTGGATTAAACAACAATGGCTGTAAGTATCCTGTATTCATCATTGTTGTCAAAAATATGCATAAATTTTCATGCTTATTAGCTCTATAACACAAAAAATAATTTTGAAATTTATTAAAGTTTTTAAAATCTTTGAAACCTGACTACACGTATCTCACGGAGACAAAGAACGCTTCTAAACATGATAAATGTTCATATACTTGTGCACACTTTTAAGATGGCTGCAAATATATGTAGCAAAAATACTTTTTGAGTTTCAGTGACTTTTTTTAAACACTGACCCAATATCCGTAATATTCCTTATCTGTAGTTTGTTAGTACAATGCATTGGTGATAAATAATTTTGTCACCATTACTTATTTTCTTTTTCACCAATTATTCAAGTGTGTCAATTCAGTAAATACATGAAAAGGTATTGCAAAAGGACACGTAAAACACAGGCACATGACGTTACATATTTTTCTTACATAAAAAAAATTACATAACCCCATATCTACACAAGGTACACATCGCCGCCATCTTGATTTTTTCTAGGTCAGTCACATCAACTTGTTTTTTTTTATTCGTCTGACACTAATTCCCTGCAACCGTATTCATTCTGCGATCAGTCTTTCGAGATCTCAACTTACGGACAGTGCAACTAAAAGCGCGCAAATAATAAAAAAAGAAAATCTCGTCAAACTCGGTCTACTGCTTCAATAATCCGAGAAATCGCTATAGAGGGGGGCGGAAGTAAAAAAAAAATAATAAGAAAAGTATGTCACGTCATGTGCCTGTGACGTAGAGATTTGGTTAAAGTGGTAGAATGTACATAAAGATGCATTATTCTTGTTAATAGGACCTAGTAGCAGAGCTATCCGAAGAACAGATCTTAGGTAAGAGGTTTCCAGTATTGGGGTGAATCACTGCCAAAATCCATGAGACATGAGGAACTGAAACTAAAACCATATTCCCTTTTTGATTTATTTAGAATTCAAAGAGGCTTTCAGTCTTTTTGACAAAGATGGTGATGAGACCATTACCACTAAGGAATTAGGCACAGTCATGAGGTCACTAGGTCAAAACCCGACAGAATCAGAACTTCAAGAGATGATACAGGAAGTCGATGTGGATGGTAAAAATTAGTTTGAAGTTTATTGCATTCTTGACTCATTGTTGTTCATATTCGTTGGAATGAAAAGATTTGATTCACCAAGAAGTTCTAGAAGTAAAAGAAATAATATTACAAAATTGATTTTACTAAAATTACGATCCTTAGTCTATTCTATGCAATAATAATGAAGACACTCTGAAACTACCGATATGAGTAGGTTAACTTATAATTAATAGGTAACGGTACAATAGACTTCGATGAATTTCTACAAATGATGGCTAAGAAAATGAAGGACACGGATTCTGAAGAGGAATTAAAGTCAGCCTTCAAAGTATTTGACAGAGACAATACAGGGTTTATCAATGGGCACAACTTACGCACTGTTATGACAAACTTAGGAGAAAAGCTTACAGACGAGGAGGTCGAAGAGATGATTCGGGAGGCGGATCTAGACGGTGATGGATTAGTCAATTATCAAGGTAAGTAAATCTGTTAAAGATCAAATCAATGTTTGCTGATTATTAAAAAAAGCAAACTTTCGTCTATAATGGAGATAGGTTTCTTGATTATTGGTCTGTTTAATTGTATAGGACTTTTATGTAGTAAACTCTTCATTTTGTAATTATAGTTTTTAATGAGGGACTGGAAATCAATGAAAGCTTACCAGAATTTAAACACACATACACCCTCACATCCCCCCCCCCCAAAAAAAAGACAAACAAACAAAACAAAACAAAACAAAAACAAAACAAAAAACAACAAGCAAAACAAACAAACAAAAAACATACTGAATTGAAAATTTCACATCAATAGGGTTTGTTAGTCTTCTTTTTGAAAGCAATCTATAGAATGCAATAAATGTACATCGATTTCGTACAAAAATTAAAAGAAATTGATTATCAAAAGGTATATATATATATATATATATATATATATATATATATATATATATATATATATATATATATATATATAAATTTTTTTTAAATTTTTTTACATTGAAGTTTCCTTGTGTTTCAGAATTTGTGGCAATGATGGCTGGGAAAAGATGACATATCCTTGTGGTTCTTGTTGAATATTTAATGTTAATTTACATGTGTTGTACTATTTACTTAATGGCAACAATGCCTATTTACCCATGGCAATGAAGTTCAGGCGTACGCAAATGGACATATACACATCGACATCATTTTTTATCTTATTATAGATTTTTTAAATCAATTAGTTGAGTGTTGTCTATTGTTTTAACCAATTACATTTACTAGTACATGGTACCAACAAAATCTTAATATTTTTGTGAAGCATATCCTTCCCCACTCCTTAAAATTTTTTTACACAAATGATCTGGTTCAAAACGTCAAAGGGTTACAATAAAAACATCAAACTTAGTGTTATCAGTGATTTTCTATTCAGAATTATCGAGGAGAGAGAGAGAGAGAGCTCTTCGGCATTTGCATTGTTTATTGGAAACTTTCCTCATTCAACAGGAGGTATAATTTTCCTATTTTTTATATCCAAAACGACAAAGTTATATATAATATACACATGTCTTGCATTACCTGTGTACAAAATTATTAACGTACATGACTGGTACATTCTGGCACATAGACAGAAAACACACATTTTCTAGCTTTGCACAACTAGGTCATATATTTAAAACTTAAGCGAGAAGGATGGAATATTCAGCAAATACGTCTTGAGTAAACTTCAATTCAATGTTTGATATGAATAAAAAATAATAACTAAAATGAACTGTTCTTAATTCCCCAAATTCCACTGACTTGATAACAATTTTTGATGCGTGACCATGCAACATTATATAGATCAATTTTCAGGTTAAATTTAAATTATGCACCACTGTGTGCAATGTAACACCTGTTTATGTTTCCTTTTAAATATGTAATATACACAGTGAAAACATAATGTAGGCACCGTGTAATTTACACCTAGTGGAAGTATAACAAAGGCACCGTGTAATTTATGGATGTGACGTTGAATTTTAGATTTTCAAGAAACCTATTCAGAATTGTTTAAAACGCATGCTGTGGAAGCTTGATCATATTGAGCAATTAAATTCAAGCCGACTTAATTATGCATCCTACAATGTATGTATTCTTATTCTTCAAAATCAAGAAAGCTTAATGAAAATTTAGAAATGGCTACAAATCACAATGATTGTATTCTAACCAAAATATATGCGACCACCGGTCAAGACGACATCATGTCATGCATTCGAGCAACATACACTGAAATAAAAAAAAAATCATTTAAAGCGTGTATTTTTTTTATTTTAGCTGTACACCAGTTTTGTTCACCCACATGTATACTGAAATTTTTAATTTGTTTAGTGCATTTATATTATAATATATATTGACTGTGCGATCTTTGGGTTGTGCGCAGAACTTTGTGTATTAGGATAGCCTACCTTAGATCCGCCTCTTCAAACCGCATGACTAGACTGTGACGTCATATGACGTCGTATGTTAGTTTCTTTTCCATATCGAAGTCTGAAGAGTACGAAAACCTAGAAGGGTCAAATAAGGAAAATGAAAAACAAAAATAACAAAAGTCGTAATAACGACTTTCTATCTCGTAATTACGACTTTTTATCTCGTTATTACGACTTAAAAAAGTCGTAATGGCGACTTTTTATTTCGTTATAACGACTTTCTTAAGTCGTAATAACGAGTTTTTTTTCTCGTAATAACGACTTTTTATCTCGTTATTACGACTTAAGAAAGTCTTATTAACGACTTTTTATCTCTTAATTACGACTTTTTATCGCGTAA